TAATCTTTTTCAAACTGAAACAGAAATACTATATTCCTTTCCACTCTTCATAGCTTCAGTTCTGTCCCAAACAATTTATGTCCAGGGGCCTCATATGATTTTTGCAGAAAGACAGAGTAGGTTGAGAGACCTGAAGTAAGGGAATGTCAGCAAGCTTGTGGTTCTCTTCCCATAACTGTTCTGTTGATGAATGAAGACATTCAGCCTATCGAGCTGTCAGCTAAATATCACTTTAAAATTTTAGAGATTAAAAGGGAAAAAGAAAAGGTAAATCAATGTAATGGATTGCTTTATAAGCCAGGAAATAACATTGTTCATTAGTTCTTCCTGGTACATGATACTACTATAGTGTTTCATCCCTTGAACCTTCTTTTTTAAGTATTCTTTTGAGGACACAGAGAACTGGTAGAGTGTGGGGCAAAGAACCACCCTGTGACCCCATGATGCAGCCAATTCCTCTATTGAAGGAACAGAGGGAAGGTGTTCAAAGATATGGCACTGGCCTGACTTTGAATCATGTATTAGAAGGAAGTATATTATTCTACACCCCACACACCCAGCTTCACCTTCTCCTCTTTCCCAGGCCATAGCTCCCTATGTGTGAACTTACAGGCTATTAGAGTGCAGAAAGCAATGAACCCCCAGCAGTATGTATTGCTACAGTTTATGTCTCCTGAGCGCTGTGCCAGTTACTATGGTAAACACTTTACATATGCTGTCTCCTTTACTCCACATAAGAACCTTGTGAGTTATAGGTACCGTTATTATCCTTATTTTATAAATGAGGAAACTGACTTAACGGAGGTTGATAGTCTGCTCAGACGCCCAGGTAGTAAGGAAAGATGTAGGATTCAAACCCAGTCGGTATAACTCAGAAGCCCAACTGGTCCATCACCCCCTCATGTACTCTTTGTTTACCTTCTGTCAGAATATTGTCTTTTATATAGTCCGCTGGCTGAGGCTTGTGAAGGAAGGCCACTCCTCTTTGGGTATAGGAAGCCTCTTCTGAAGAGGACATGATGGAGTCCGTCTCACTCAAGGAAGAGGTGGGGTCTCAGAAGGAAAAAAAAAAAGTTAAAATTTTTTTTTAAAGACCTGAAAGCAGATCTCAGATAAACAGAAGAGATTTTACATTTTTTAATGTATATCCTCTGAACCTAGATCTTGAGGATTGCCTAGAAGGGTACTTCTGAGTGCTAGAAGCTAACCCCAAAAGACCAAAGCAACAACAAAAAAGGTTTCTCAAAAAAAGACAGAGAATAGAGATTAAAAAAGAAGAACCCAAACAATATAAGCTAATAATGAGGAAAATATTTCTAATAAGCTGAATTATCTCTGTTGGGAGTCCTCTGTGCTTCTCAGTTTTTTCCTCATGATTTGGTAAGATTTCTTTTCCTGCCGCACAAGTACGAGAGGAAGGACAGCAATTCCATGGCACTTGTGCCCCTGACTCTTGCCCACACTGGCCTTTGGCCAGGTCATCCATTCATTTCACAGTGTTCTGTCCCCAAGCCCCAGGGCAGCCTCTGCACCCACTCACCAGGCCTCATGGTAAGAACGTAACAATACCCCATTGCCCTGCCTGCAATTATGGCATTGTAGTGAGTGGGAAACAACTAGAGATTCTCCTTTTGATTCCAAACTTTGGAAGTCTTTATTTCATTAAAGAGAGTATCATTTCCTTTTGTGCTGCAACAGTGGTGCGGAAGTGGCAGCTGTCAGTGGCTTCGGTGGCTGCCACCTGTCAGTGTCATGGAGATCTCCCTCCTAGGAACTTCCTTCCGGAAGCAAGGAAGGAGGTGGGACCTGCCAGGCATGGGGTGGAACAGGGACAGCCAGAGGGGTTATCACACCTATAAAGGAACTTCAGAACCAAACCTCAGCCCTGTCACTTTTGTTCTCAGGAATGTGAGTCTGACTGAGAGCTTACGCTGTCTGAGGGCAGGGCGTCCAATTTCAGTGAAGTATTATTGAATAACACATTGGACAGAGCTGAATTATTGTAAATGACAGACTCGGCCAAGCCTTCTCTTCCATGATCTTTCATTGCCACCACGGAATGCTGAGGTGCCTGAGCTCAGGGAGATGCAGTTTCCTATTTCAAAAATATTACTCATTTTACTTTTCCAAGGTCATGATGGTATACTGTCATACTAATTAATTTATTTAATTAAAATAAATTAACACAGTTGTGTCTGAAACAGCCCAAAAGGCAAGCTATGTATATTAAGTTGCAACTTTAACACAGAGGTAAAAGTTGGGATTCTAAATGAGTAATCCTTCTTAATGGAGGTTATCCAACACTTTAAAATCAAAAATTTTCTCCCATCACAGTTCTTGGTCTTCCTCTTCCATCTTTTGCTGCAGAATGTAAGACCTTTAATTCTCCCATAAGGACATCTGCATTAAAAGGCCCGTAAAGATAATCCAGTTTTCTCCCTTTGACCCTGGCCTTTCCAACAAACCAGAATGTGTAGACCATGCATACCCCCAAACTACCCTAGCTCTTTCCATCACATATAAGCAGTGCTTTTTTTTTTTTCTGGGGAAGAGAGGACGGGGGAATGTCTGCCTTGGTTTATATTGAATTTGAGGCAAAGGTAGAAAAGCAGTGGTTGAGAACTTTCTTCTCCTGCAACGCCTTGCTTTCTCAGACCTCCATGCCTATGTGCTTTAATCTACCTGGTACACACTCCTCCCCCTCCAAGTCTTCCTGGAAAACCATGTTTGATTCTTGAGAAATAACCTGTGCTATGAAGCTTTCCCCACTGCCCTCCTGCCCAAACAGTCAGTCTCTTCTTCTGTTCCCCTAACATTTTAACACACCTCTCTCTGTTTGTCATACTGTATGGGATCATTGATTTATACATCTGTTTCCCTCACCAGACTGAACTTTTTCAGAGCAGAGATTTTATTTCATTCATTTATTTACCTGAACACCTCACACGTAGTAGCTGTTAAGTAAATGCAGTCATATTGAGTTGAATCTTTATGGAACTTACTATATATCTCTAAGGTAAGTTAGGATGAGTCATGAGAGAGGGTACAGAATTTAGTATGGAGTAAATTCCAGGATCCATCTCAGGAAGGTGTTGGTCAGGTATTGTCATTTAGATGTGTAAATCATAAGCAAAGCCTTGTGGGCTTCTAGGGACGCACAGAAGAAAACTTGCGCCTGGAGATGTTTCAGCAAGGCAGATCAAGGGGAGGAGACCTTTGCCAGGGGGCGGACCTATGTTTCATGCTCCACCAGAAGTATTGCTCCTTCTTAACCACATAGCACACGTGTGATTACCATAACACACACATCAGGTAGTGCCCAAACAGGGAAAAACAAGCACTATGACATTTACAGAATAGGGAATTTATTTTATGAATTACATGTTGTACAATCTTGGGCGAGGATGGGAAAATAGGTCAAAAGGGAGAATTGAAAGTTCAGGAGAAAAATCACTAACCAGCCTTCCTGAAACAATGGCATGGATGGACAAGTGGGAGCTCGCAGGGCAATCTAGAAGCCGCTGGTGTGGGACCATGAAAGGATGTGGGATGAAGGGGAACTGATGTAGGACAGAAGTCAGGGAAAGACTGTTGCCTCTGTGTAGCTGCCATTCTGGAAGTTTGCTGCAGAGTAGTTGGTGGTGGCCTTGGAATCATTCATCAGCAAGGCTGGTAGTTCTTTTTTTTTTTAAAGATTTATTTATTTGACAGATAGAGACACAGTGAGAGCAGGAACACAAGCAGGGGGCGTGGGAGACGGAGAAGCAGGCTTCCTGCTGAGCAGGGAGCCTGATGCCGGGCTCAGTCCCAGAACCCAGGGATCATGACCTGAGCCGAAGGCAGACGCTTAACGACTGAGCTGGTAGTTTTAGTCACAGAGGAGGAAAGAACAAAGACAAAGTGAAACCCAGTAGCATTTCTACTATTTTTTCTCACTATCTTTGATCACAGTGACCTTCAAAAAACATGGCTGCTACATCACTGGGACCTTACAAATCTCACGTAAATTTCTCTTTTGCCCAATTCTAGCCCACAACCATACAGGGAAATGGGTTCTGGGACACATAATTCTTATGTAGCCAGATTGATACAGTATAAAACCACAACAATATACCTCTAAATTTTGTAAGTTGAATTTAGTTTCAATTTTAGAAGCAGTACTCACGTAATATAGGAAAAAACAGAGGTAAGAAACATGTATGACTTTATAGTTTTTTGAAAAATATTCTTGGGTATTGCCTAGAAACATGCCTTACCTAGCACACATTTCAGAAACAGAAATTGTTGGTTGTCAGTGCTAACTGCTATAAGAAACCTTGAGGTGACTATATAAGCATTTCTTTGTCTTCTGATGGTCAACATAGAATTTAAGTACAGTTTTTAAATAGTCATCTCTTGAGATCTTCCGAAAACGATCTAAGGACAAAAGGAAGTAACATTTGTTACACGCTGTGCCAAGAACTTCTTATGTCTTATTTCATCTAATTCATAGACCAAGCCTGTGAGCTCCTAAGATCAGATTCATGTAAAATTGTTGAAAATTCACCCCAGAATTTAGAGTAACTTATATCTCAGTCTAGGCTGTCTTTTTCTCTTGACTTCGTTGGTTATTTACTCCTATTTTTTAACATCTTATTGAAGAAGAGATAACATATATATTAAAGTATGTAAAGTGAACTAATTTCAAGAGTGCAACTCAGTGAATTTTTACATATCTATCTATATATTCATATAATCACCATCCAGATAAAAATACAAAATTTTTCCAATACCCTTAATTGGTTTTCCTTGGGCCATTTGTACTTCTCAGGTAAACTGCCTTTTATATATATATATATTTTTTTTTTTTTTCCACTACATGGATGGTATAATTCTTGGAACAATGGCAGGAGGAAGTGAACTTTAGCAGTAAAGTGAAAATGTTAAATAATGTGCCTCATAACTGCTTCGAATTACATCTCCTTATATCACTTTCTCTTTCTGCTTTTACCCTAAAACAGGTAATCAGATCCTGTCCCTTGGGAGCCTCTCAAAAGATCAGATTTATCCAATGAAACTCAAGGGCATCTCCATCTGCTATTCAGCTCTCAAATCTGCCTTGTGTGGAAATTATGTCAGCTTTGGCGTCTTCAAGTTGTATGGGGACAACCATTTTGACAATGTACTCCAGGCCTTTGTCAAAATGCTGCTGTCAGTGTGCCACAGTGACTTGCTAGTAAGCAGTCGTGCATCATGGGAGTCTTTGTGTGAAATGTGAAGTAACACCACCACAGGCTTGCAATGGTTATAATGAAGCCCGGGGAGTTAGAATAGCACCAGAACATTTTATGTTTTAGGACAACCTCTTGATTTAACTTAAAGAATTTGAACAACTATAGTGGCTGTATGTATATAACTAAATGTACAGGTTTCAAAAATTGCAGCTGCCACCTCTGACAGATCGGTCATCCAGAGTGCTCCAGGTTCAGCATCCAGAGAAAATGTAAATAGCAATTTCAACTAATTGCTTACAACTATGCTAATAATTCAGAAAAGGTCTGTTTCCTGGAGGAGAAATGTAGGATTGGCTGCAGAATCTTCTTCCTTCTTCCTTCCTCCTCTCCTACTCCATCTGCTTCCCCTACTCTTTCGCCTTCCTTTCCATGAAAATTCTGGTGTGGCAGAAAGAATGCTGAACTCAGAGTTGAGCATACGGGTGCATAGTCTCTACTCCGCCACTCACTAGTCATTACCTTGAATAAATCACCTTCTCTATTTCTCCAGGCTTTAATTTCCTCACCTTTAAAATTAGTAAATTAAACAAAGTGATCTCTAGGTCCCTTTTCAACTCTACCATCTAGTTTCTATGATTTATGTCAGTGGTTTTCAAACTTTGAGGCCCTTCAGAATCACCTGGGGTGCTTGTTGGAAATTTAGATTTCCAGGCTCCTCCACTGAGCTGTGTCATTATCAGACTTTTTAAACATCCCTGCCTGATTACACAAAAGCTAATATATGCCCAATGTGGTTGCAGTAATTACTTCAGTAACAGCCAAATTCATGCTCAGACTTAGTTCAGGCTTTCCCACCTGCTCCCTGCCAAGGTTATAAGTAAAATCTAGGGGGCCTTTGTTAGTCAACCCATGTGAGAAATGCTCCTTGACAAGAATGGACCAGCATCACCCTCTTCCACTGTTCTAAGCTAGTCTTAATAGAACCACAACTCAAGCCAGAGTGGTTTAGCCTCAGTAGTAGAATGGGATACTCGTTGAAGGCTACCCGTATGACAGAAATTACAAAGTAGAAACTTGACTCGGATCAGGCATCGGTTTTCATCGAGAAGACTCTTCACTGCAGTTGAGGTCCCCCCAAAAAACTAATTGTGGCTCCAGGAATTGCTCTAATCATTTTTCTAACAGGCAAGCAAATCTCTAACTCAGTAATTCTCAAAGTTAAGGGTGCATAGGACTCCCTTCGCGTGCGTGTTTAAAATGCAGGTTTCAAGACCTCATTCCAGAGCATTTCATGTAGTGAGTCTGGAGTGGGGATCAGGAAACTGCATTTTTAATAAGCATCCCATGTGATCTTATGGAAGTGATCTTAATCTCACTTTAATAAACACTGCTCTGGTTTATTTCTCTTATGAGCATTATGCTTCTTTGATATTGGTTTGAGTTCCATTTAAAGTTTTCCAGGTATTTTTCTCATGCACTTATCTTTTGCCTGTAGTATATGGCAAATATTAAGCCATTGATCAAATCATGATTTAGTTAGATGGGTTAGCATTTGTAAGTAAGACAGACTATGATGTCAAATCTTACTACAACAGCAAATACCTTGGTATTAAAAAAAAAAAAAAAGGCTGCCTAGCCACTATTAAGTACTGTTCAGTGTTATAATATCCCCATCCAGAAAAATAATTCAGTCTTCTAAATTCCATACTACAGAGATTTTATTTGCATTTAAGTGTTAGCCATATAAGGTAAAATTGACATTACTTGCAGTGCTATAGCTTCAAATTAGGATTTCTAGAGATCAAGAGATTCCTTTTAGAACCCCTTTCAATACTGAATTGCGAATCATGATGTCATGTGTTCCGTGTATTTATTTTATATATTTATGTTTAAGTAAGTTTACAATTTCAAATATTATAAATGGCAGTTTCCACTAGACCTTAACATGTCTTTTGCTTCCCTTTGGCTTGACACTTCATTATCTCTGTGTTGTAGCAATATCGGAAACTGAGCCAGTCTTACTATCCACTCCTGGAATGTCTTACCCAGGACCACATGAGCTTCATCACCAACTTGGAGCCTCCTGTACTTCTCTATGTTCTCACATCTATCTCAGAGGGACTCACTACCCTTGGTAAGTGTCACAGAGAACATTATTTCCAGAGGAAAAGCTTGGTTGTGGTCTCTTAATGTATGTGCTTATTGAGATGGTCTACAAAGGGGAAAAGATGGCATACCCAAACTGAAGGATTATTTTGTAATTATTACTTGCAAGTGAGAGAATGCCCTTTTTTCATATGTTGATGTATAGCTTATTTCTTAACCAGCTTAATTAAGGTATAATTTACACACAATAAAAGACTCATTGATTTTAAGTGTACAGTTCAGTAACTACTGACAGATGTATGTACATAGTCATAAACTACCACAATGAAGATATGGAACATTTTCTTCACCACAAAAAGCTCCCTCGTGCCCCTTTCTGATCAATCCCTTTCCCCTGGCCCCAGCCCCAAAAAACCACTGTCTACTTTCTTTCACTATAGTTTGCCTTTTCCAGAATTTTGTCTAAGTTGAAACATATGATATATAGACCTTTGTGTCTGGCTTCTTTGATTGAGCATAATGCCTTTGAGATTCATCCATGTTGTTTTGCAAATCAATTTATTCCTTTCTGTTGCTGAGTTATTATTCCATTGTATGGATTATCACAATTTATTTATATATTCATCAACTGATGGCTATTTGGCTTGTTTCCCTTATTTGGTTATTTTGTACAATGTTACTATGAACATTCCTGTACAAGTCTTTATGTGGTCAAATACTGTTTCTCTTGGGTAACTACCTAGGAGTGGGATTTCTGAGTTGTATGCTAAGTGTATTTTTAACATTATTTAAAAAAAAAAAAAAGAAAACTGCGACACTGTTTCCCAAAGTGACTGTACCATTTTGTTCTCCCCAGCAATGTATGAGGGCTCCAGTTTCCCTGTATCCTCCCTAACACTTGCTATTATTAGTCTTTTTAATCTTAGCCATCTTAGTGGGTGTAAAGAAGAATCTCATTGTAGTTTTAACATTTATTTAACTACTGAATAATGATTTGCACATCTTTTCATGCTTGTGTGCCATTCGTGTATCTTTTTCATGAAGTATTTGTTCAAATTTTTTACCCATTTTTTTAACTGGATTGTTTATCTTGTAAGTATTTGTTACATATTCTGGATACAAATCCTTTATCAATTGTGTGTTCTGCAAATATTTTTTCCATCTTGGCTTGTCTTTTTATTTTCTTAACAGTATCGCCTCATTACAAGAGCAAAGTTTTTAATTTTGAGGAAGTCTAATTTATTTATTTTTTTTCTTTTATAGTTCATGTCTTTTGGGTCCTATCATAAGAAATCTTTGCTTAATAGGTCGTTTCTATGTTTTCTTCCACAAGTCTTATAGTTTTTTATCTTATGCTTAGGTCTTACGATCTTATGATCCATTTCAATTAAACTTTTTGTATATAGTATTAGGTATGAAATGAAAGCTGTTTTTTAACAATTCAATTGTTATAGCACCTTTTGTTGAAGAATATCCCTTCTCTATTTAATTACTTTGTGCCAATTCTATACTGCTCTGATTTCTAATTTTTGTCCTAACTTTATGGTAAGTTTTAAAGTCTTAAAGTCATATGGCATAGACCTCTAATTTTGTTTTCTTCTTTTAAAATTGTCTTGACTATTCTGGGTTCTTTGTCTTTTTATATAAGCTTTAAAGTCAATTTGTCAGTTTCTCTTGCTAGGAAAAAAATGAATAAGGGAATTTTGGTGGGGATTGCATTGAATCTCTAGCCCAATTTGGGAAGAATTGACATATTAGCAATATTGAGTGTTCGATTCCTGAAAATGGCATATCTGTCCATTATTTAGATCTTCCTTAATTTTTCTCAACAGCATTTTTGTAGCTTTGAATGTATGACTCTTGTACATATTTTGTTATATTTATAACTAAGTATTTTATATTTTTATGCTATTGTACATGGTACTGAATTTCAATTTCCTTTTGTTCTTGGCTACCATGTAGAATTGCAGGTGATTTTTTTTGTATGTTGACCTTGTATCCCGCAGCCTCACTAAACTCACCTATTAATTTTGGTCACTTCTATAGATGTCTTAGGATTTTCTACATAGATGTGTCTGCAAATAGACAGCTTATCTCTTCCTTCCCAATCTGTATGGCTTTTGTTTTTTCTTGCCTTATCACACTGGCTAGGACCTACATGTAGTACAATGTTGAATAGAAGTGATGATAGCAAACATTTTTTCCTTATCTCTAAGGAAATATCTCCATTCATTCTTTCACCATTCAGTATAATGTTAGCTGTAGGTTTTATATAGATGCTCTTTATCTTGTTGAGAAAATTCCCTTCCATTGTGGTTTTCTGAGAGTGTTAATCAGGGATGAATACTGAATTTTATCAAATTATTTTTCTGGATCTACTGAGATGATCATGTGGTTTTTCTTTTTAGTTCTGTTTATACATTACATAATGTTGATTATCACATTGATGGATATTTGAATGTTAAACCAACCTTGCATTCCACACTAAGTTACAACATATTATCCTTCTTACATATTACTGAATTCAGCTTTCTAAAATTTTGATACAGACTTTTACATCTATGTTTATGACAGATATTGATGTGTTCTGCAGTTTTTCTTTGGTTCTTCTTCCATATCTTTTATTCTCTGTCTAGTGTCCTATATCTTTACCTTGTTTTAGCATCAGTCTAATGCCCTCATAAAATGACTTGGGAATGTTCCCTCCTCTCCTATTTTCTTAAAAAGTTTGCATAGAATTGTTATTAGTTCTTACTTATTGTTTGATAGAACTCCCCAGTGAAGCCATTAGGTCTAGATTTTTTTAGTAGGTTTTTAACTAGAAGTTAAACATTTTTAATGAATATAGGGCTATTCCAGTTATTTATTAGATTTGGGGTAGCATTTGGTAGTTTGTGTCTTTAAAGGAATTTCTCTGTTTCATCTGATGTTCATCTGATGTTGACATAAAATTATTCATAATAGCCCATTGTTCTACAATTTGATTTCTGTAAGGTCTGTGGTGATGTTCCCTCTTTCATCCCTGAAATTGACTATTTGTGTCTTCTCTCTTTTTTTTTTCTTGATTATTCTGGCTCTAGATTTATCAGTTTTATTACAGAGAACCAGTTTTCAGTTTTCATTGATTTCTCTGTTGTTTTCTTTTATTTCCTTAATTTCATCTACGGCCTTTATTATTTCCTTCCCTCAGTTTACTTTGCTTTTCCTCTTCTAATTTTTCATGTAGAAGCTTAGATCACTGATTTTAGACCCTTCCTCTTTGCTGATATACACATTTAATGCTTTCATCTAAGCACTGCTATAGCTATTCCTCTCAAATTTTTTGTGTATTTTGCGGTTTTTTTCTGTTCAATTTAAAAATATTTTCCAATTGTCCTGCTGATTTCTTCTTTTATCAATGGATTGTTACTGAGAGGCACAGTGTTTAATTTCTGTATATCCAGAGGTGTTCAGATACCTGTTACTGATTCTAGTTTAATTCCATTATGGTCATAGGATATACTCAATGATTGTTATAACCTTTATTTTTATTGCATCTTTTTTATGATTCAAAATATGTGACTATTACATGGGCACTTGAAATGAATGTGCATTCCATTGTTGTTGGGAAGAATGTTCTGTAGTGGTCTAATTGATAATGTTTAGATTTTCTACGTTCTTACTAGTTGTTTGTTTGTTTTCTATTTATTCTATGAATTACCAAGAGAGAAGTGTTGAAGTCTAACTATAATTATAGATTTTTCCATTTCTCCTTTTAGTTCTATCAGTTTTGATATAAAGCATTTTAAAGCTCTGTTATTAGGTATGTAAATATTTAGGATTGTTCTGTCCCTTTGATGACTTTTCCCCTTTATCAAGAAATGACCATCTTTATCTCTGGTAATACTCTTTTTTCTGAAATCTATTTTGTCTAATAGCTTCTCCAGCTTTCTTTTGATTAGTGTTGCCTCTTTTTCCATCATTCCTGTGTCTTTATATTAAAGTTGGTTTCTTGTAGACAGCAGGTATTTTCTATTGATATTGTAACAATTTTTACAAATTTGGTGGCTTAAACCAATGTAAATTTATTATCTTATAACTCTTTGGGTTTTTTAAAAGATTTTATTTATTTATTAGAGAGAGAAAGGGAGTGGAGGAGGAGCAGAAGGAGAGAATCTCAAGCAGACTCTGTGCTGAGTGCAGAGCTGATGCAGGGCTCAATCTCACAACCCTGAGATCATGACCTGAGCCAAAATCAAGAGTGGGACGCCCAACCAACTGAGCCACCCAGGCACCCCATCTTATAGTTCTTTAAGTCATAAATCTGACATGGGTCTTGTTGGGCTAAAGTCAAGGTGTCAGCAGAGCTGTGTTCCTTTCTAGGAGAAATTCCATTTCCTTGCCTTTTCCACTTTGTAGAGACTACCTAAATTCCTTAGCTCATGGCCCCCGGCAAGATTGCATCTATAACCACTCTTCCATAGATAAATCTCCCTCTGATTCTGACCTCTCCTGCTTCTCTCTTTCACTTTTAAGGACACTTGGGATTACATTGGGCCTACCCAGATAATCCAGAATAATCTCCCTACTTTTCACTCAGCTAATTAGCAGTCTTAATCCATCTGCAATCTTATTTATTCTTTGCCATTTAATCTAACAGATTCACAGGTTCTGGGAGTTAGCACATGGACATAGGACATATTTGCCTAATACATAGCATATAGGTGGGTCATATTTTTATATCAAATCTGACTATCTCTGCCTTCTCATTAGTGTTTCAACCATTTACATTTAATGTAACTACCAGTGTATTTGAGTTTAAATCTATAATATTGCTATTTGTTTTCTTTTTATTTGAGCTTTGTTTCTTTTTTCCTTTTTTCCCTTTTCCTGCCTTCTTTTGGTTTGGATTAATTAAATGTTTCTTATGAATCCATTTATATCCTCCATGAGTTTATTAGCCAGACTTCTTTATTTTTAGCGGTACTCTAGGGTTTATAATCTATACCTTCAAATAATGTCATCATAGTTTGCCTTCAGATAAATCAC